TTAACAAATTTAAAGGATCAGAATTATAAGTGCACATAAGGAACTATTTTAAACCTACTTCAAACATAAGAGATTATTTTTATCATTTTCTCAGATTAAATTAGTCTAATAAATGTGGTGTATTTTAAACCTACTTCAAACATGAGAGATTATTTTTATCATTTTCTCAGATTAAATTAGTCTAATAAATGTGGTGGTGTAACCAAAAAGATTAAATAAAGTACTAAAGAAAGAATGTAGTGAAGAAGTAGATGATAAAAGTTGTAAATATATTACGTAGGTGCTGACATATTTTCACATAAAAATAATGTTTACAAGATCTTTGAAGGATTTAAGTTGCAAAAAAATCATTAATTGTTCTTTGTTTGAATAACTTATCCTATTATATATAATCAAATTTAATTATTGGAAGAGTTGGTCCCATTAATAATTACTTTCAAGATTAAAAACATAACACACAATCATAGACTTGAATTATATATATATTTTTTAAAATATCATTTATAGAATTTTCTTACGTAATTTTTAAATATTCAAAACACTAAAAAAAAAATTAAATAAAAAACATTAACAGTACATAAATATCCTTGACTAGAAGCAGACACATCGACTAAGAGGTACATGCTTCTAGATTTCTCTATATAATAGTAATATCTTGGACGTCACCAAATGCAATGCTTGCGTTGATGGTAAATATTGAAATACGAATACCCGTGATAAAATTAGCCCATAAAAATATAATTTACTTAACTTAATTATTTGAAATGATGATTTGTTAAAAATAACTTTTTTGCCTCACAAAAATAAGGTTAAAATTGCATTTACTCATCCTTTCGAGACTCCACTCGAAGGATTATACTGATAGCATTGTTGATGTTGTTGTTATGTTAATATAATGCAATTTTTTCCCTTTAATTTAATCATTAAAAATGATTTGTGGTTTGATTTAGTCGACAGGTTGAATAAATTGAAAACTGTGGAGTGGTAGTGTAAAAAAGTAGAAGCAATTATATATCCAAATAAGGATTCATTTTAATAAAATGTGATTTTGAAGGTTCATTGTATCATATCAAATTAGATAACTTTTTAATAATAAGTTGAAATGCATTAGTAGTACGTTTAAAAATTCACGTTATAATATCTACTTTACACCTAATTACATAGGCGTATCTAAGGGGTTTCGTGAGTTCACGTGAACTCATACACCCTTTTTTAGATCATATATAGAAATATTATACTTTTAAAAAAAATTAAATATAGAGATGGGAACCAAAGTTAAAAGTAGAATAAAATAATATGATGGAATGCACCTCTCTAAGCAAAGATAGAAATTTAAATCTTATATCTATCTTATATTTTTTAGTAACACCCCTCCAAATGGCTATCAGTAACACTTTTGGCGTTTCAATTTTTTTTTTCTTTTTTTTTTTTGCTTTAATCTTTCAAAATTTTCAAGTGTGTGACACTGAAAATTCCAAAAAAAAATTAGCACTGTAAAATTTTTACATAATTAAATCAATTGCGTATATTAAAATTTAAAACTAGTAGTATTATATATATTGGAAATTGGACCTATACTTTTTAAAATTTAACGGTTAAATATTAAGATCGTAAAGGTCAAACCGATCAAATTTATATCTTAAATGCATTTTTTCATAATAGTGCATTCATCGTTTTAAAATTCTGAATACGCCTTAGCATCTAAAACATGCACTATCACACTCAGATTGTATAGTTTTTTTAAATTATATTTTCAGTAGACACATATATATTAAGTAATAAAAAAACTCTTACCATAAAAAAAACAGTTCGATACATAAAACATCTTGCATTAATAAGATTTGGAAAAAATCACACTTTTAAGGGGGCAAACATTATTAGTTACTTTCATGACTCAGATATGTGACTTATGAAAATTTGTACGAAAATAACTTTATCGTTACCCAAAACTCTTAAGATATTATCATTAATTAACATATGAAAATTTGCAACCCTATTAATTAGAGAGGGGTCTGGCGGCTAAGCAGTCAGCTTTACACCAAGAGTAAACACTTCCCACATAATTGCTAAAAGTTAATTGAATATAAAAACAATTAGATGTTGAATCAAGTTGCAACTAAAAAAGTGTTTGACTAAGGGTGTGTTTGGTATGAAGGAAAATGTTTTCCTGGAAAACAAGTTGATTTTTGATTTATTTTCTCATGTTTGGTTGATGACTAGAAAATATTTTCCGGAAAAAAATTTTAGTATTTGATTTATGAATGAAAAATGTTTTTGAGAAATATCTTTTATTTTTACTAGAGTAGAAAATAATTTTTGAATTGAAAATATTTTTAAAAAACAAACTTAAATTTTTTTTGGGGGTGGAGGGGGGGCTGGTAGGGGGCGTGTGGGGGGGCTGGTAGGGGTGGGGAGGGGGGTCGAAGGTAGGGGTGAAAAAATGAAATTTTGAAGTTGAAAATATTTTTTTAAAAACAAACTTAAATTTTTTTTGGGGGATGGGGGGTGGTGGGGGGCTGGGTAGGGGTGGGTGGGGGGGTCGAGGGTAGGGGTGAAAAAATGAATTTTTGAAGTTGAAAATATTTTTTAAAAACAAACTTAAATTTTTTTGGGGAGGGGGGTCGAGGGTAGGGGTGAAAAATGAAATTTTGAAGTTGAAAATATTTTTTAAAAACAAACTTAAATTTTTTTTTGGGGGTAGGGGAGGGTGGGTAGGGGTGATGGGGGGTCGTGGGTAGGGGTGAAAAATGAAATTTTGAAGTTGAAAGTATTTTTTAAAAACAAACTTAAATTTTTTTTTGGGGGGGTGGGGGGTGGGGGGATCGAGTGTAGGAGTGAAAAAATAAAATTTTGAAGTTGAAAATATTTTTTAAAAACAAACTCAATTTTTTTTTTGGGGGGGGGGGGGGTGGCTGGGGAGGGGGATGGGTGGTCGAGGATTGCGATGAAAAAATAAAAATTTGAAGTTGAAAATATTTTTTAAAAACAAATTTAATTTTTTTTCTTTTTGAAAGGGGTTAGGGGGTAAAAAATAAAAAATTGAAATTAGAAATATCTTTTAAAAACAACTTTTAATATTTTTTTGGGAGGGGGTGGTGGTATGGGGTGGGGGTGAGGGTGGGGTAATAAAATTAAATTTAAAAACAAGCTTTAAATTATTTTATTTTTTTTGGAGGTGGTTGGGGGGGCTGGTTTGAGGGTAGGGACAAAATAAATTATTTTTTTCAACAAAAAAATAATTGTAATTTGAAGTTGGAAGAGAGTTTTGGAAAATGTTTTCCTAAGTTTTGAAGGGAAGTCATTTTCCTTAAATTTGAGGAAAATGAGTTGATTTGAAAAACATTTTCCAAAACATTTAACCCAACCAAACATGAGAAAATTGGAAAACATTTTCCGAAAAATATTTTCCTTCATACCAAACACACCCTAAGGGTATAAGTTGGTTAAACTAGATTATATGCATTTTTTTAAAACTTATTTATGTGTTTTATAAACATAAAAAATGTTTAAAAGTGAAGGGTATATAAACTAAGTCAAAAGTCATAAGTTGGTCTCATCAATCACTATTCTTCGGATGAGCACTCTGCGGTGAGGATTTCGTGCGCACTGGCTAAATCCCCGTTGTGTAATAGCTTGCGAACCACATATGAGATGTAAACTGCACTAGGCAAGCCCTATGCGATAGACTCGACTCAAAAGATATTGAGGGGGATCAATCCCGAATCATCCATACGGATAATCACCCTCCAAATCAACTAAGCCATCCGAAGGACAATATTTCTATTTATTGATTTCAACACTTTTATTCAAATACGTAATTGATATTTATAAATCAACTTCAGCACCTACGAGTAGTTTTGAGGACTTCATGCTTATTATGTTTAATTAGCTCATTTAAACCAGCTCTAAATATGCATATGTATGAACCAAAGCACACATCACCAACAAGGAATGTGGTAAAATGAATGTGATCACTTTTTTTTTAATCATAAGTCTTTGATTTGAACCTCGAAACTGAATTTTAAAAAAATAATTAATGAGCATTTCTCTCTAAAATAAGTCCAACGTAACATAATTTTAAATTAGTCGATTAGTGAATTTTGATATCGTATGATATTAAAAAAAAAAAAAAAAAGGGGTGTGGGGTGGGGGGAGTAGAAGATAGCTATTCAAAGGGACTATAAATGTAAGAAATAAACAATAATGGAGGCAATTTTAAAATAGAAGTCAAATATGAACAGTAGTACTAGACAAACATGGCAAGTTGTAATGTAATATTTAATTATGTAACCTTAACATACTCTTTTAATACAGATCACAGATATATGGAACAAAGCACCAACAAGGGATGATGTGGGATGGACGTGATCATTTTAATTTGTCGTTAATTAGAGATATCATATTTAAATTTCGAAATAAGAATCTCCTATTAACATTAGAGACTAATTACCCCTTAAATAAGCTTCACATCATACAAATCTAAATATTACAAATACCATATGGGACGGAACATAGCTATAATTTTGCATAGCTATTAAATTCAATAAAACGAAGTTTTGAAGCAATGATAAAATTATTTTCATGTGACCTATAAATCATCGATTTGAATCGTAAAAACAGTCATTTATACTTGCAGACTATCTGCATCACACCTATTTAAGTGCGAATCTTTTCTTAAACTCTGCATAAACACAAAATATTTTGTGCATCGATCTGTCTACCTTCTAAGGGACTATATATGTATGTAAGAAAAAAACAAGAATGGGGCAATTTTAAATAGAGGTCAAATATATATATGTTCAATTATCTTATATATATTCAACCAAAGCCGACGCTAAAAGACAAATTCTTTAATTATTATAATCACATACATCCTTTTCAAGTTTCCTTTTAATAATTAATCTTCTTTCTCTCTATATATAACCAAAATGCAAAAGCAACAAAATGTATATTCTTACTAAAGTTTCTTGCTAAGATAAACTTACCACAAAAAAATTAATATGGATATTTTTTCATATACTATTTCTTCTTCATCTTCTTCTAATTCTTCTTCAACATATCCACAACAAGAACAAAAGAAAAATAAAAAATTAGCCTCATATCATTCCTCACTTCATGGAGTTAGAAGGCTCCCATTAAAACCAATGACTAAACTACCAATTGCACCTTTGCCACCAACACCTCCTAAAATATATAGAGTTGAACCTAATGATTTCAAGGATGTTGTCCAAATGCTCACTTCATCTCCCGAGTTTCAATCTGTCTCCAATGATTCTATCTCTCGTTTTGATTCTGGCTCTGGCATTGGCTCTAGTTCTTTCAACTCAAGGCGTTTACAAGATATTGCTCCTCCACCACTTGATCTCTCACCGATTTCTTTAGAAAGAAGTAATGATAATATTGTTGCACAATGGAGCGAGTTCCTTCGTCCTTCTTTTTCCTCTAACATTAACCAAGTAGTAGAATCAATCGAAATATGCATTGACTCAACAAATAATGGAGCACAAGAAAGATCACATGTAACGCCCCGGATTCCATCAGAAAATTATTTTGGATCGTGTAGTCCATTGGCTAATTTCCCTCTATCGCCGGCTTCTTTTGCATGGTGTTCTTTTATTCTTCTAAGCCCGGGTACTCTTACTTCACCAAGCGCGGTTCTTTAGTTCCCATTGTCATTGCCTCAACCAACAAAAACAGGATTTTCACTGAAGAGGTTTCAACATCTACTATATCATCTACTATATATATACATAAGACAAAAATTCTAGCTCCGTCGCTAGCCTCAACTCATTTGAGAGTTTGTAACTTATCACAATTCAAACACTTGAAGTTGTTTTTTTTTTTTCATTTTCACTTTTACTTAATTTCTACTGCAAAATATCAAATATTTGGTATTATTATTCCACAAGTATGGTCTTTAGTTTGTAGCATTGACATTTTACTATTTATTGCTTACCAAAAATAGTCAAACTCATAACAGAGTTTTTAAGCAAAAAACTTATAGAGAAATTCGGACAAAAATTATTCGATAATTTTATGTTATCTCTAAAGTAACATATGAAGTAGTCATCATATGTAGGTTCGAATTAATTGATTGTTGATGTTATAATAGGTAAAACTATATTATGGCATAATTGGTTATTTGAGCAAACAACCTTCCTTCAAGAAGAATTGTGACTCCCACCCCTATCTCGATCAATCTTTATAGAGCGAAAGAGCTGCAAGGTAATTCCTATGTTTTTAGCACGTCTAGTCGTTAATTCTTATGCCTGATTACATTTTTATTTTGAGTTAAGGATTTAAAAAACACACTTAAAACTATCTCACTTTATTGAGTTTTATACCTGAACTATTGGGAGTGAGTTTCCTACCTAAAACGCTAAACTATCAGCCAAAGGTTAGCGAAACAACCTCTAGACGTTGCCTAGACCAAACATTTGTCTTGAAATGTTTATAGGCACATTTTTTCATACAATTTCCGTCCACCAGACATATATAACGACTCTATTAGCTAACACATTAACTTTTAAAATATATTTTTAATTGAATTCTTTAAAATCCTAAACTCTCTCCTTCCAAGTTAGAGATATCAACGCCGCGACAGAGATGAGATCACGGCTAAGAAGGTGGAGAAGAGGATAGTGAATGTCACGATCGGAATAAATTAATTTATACGATAATAGTTTTAACCTTTAGCTTAATATTAATTTATTTAGATTTGTCATGTGGAATTGTTTTTCCACATGGAGTGTTATGTGACAAAAAATTTAAATAAAAGAGAGTGTAGTACACACATCATAAAAAATTAGTCAAGTTATGTTTCGCTAACTAAGAAACTCAGACTTTCAATGATATAGGTATGAAACTCAAAAAACTGAAATAATTTAAAAGCATTTTGACCTTTTTAACTCATCTATTTTACACTAATAAATAGGTTTACAGTTTCAATATACTACTAAAATCAATTTCCTCTTACAATACATATTTTTGTCCTACAACTCAAAGACAATCTCTGGCCCAAAAGAAATTTAAAAAAGAAAATTAATGTCTTGCCAACACACAAAACCATTTGTTTAATTTATCATCAATATTCAACTAATTTGAATGAAGAACTATTTTTAATTAAACATCCATATATATATATATATATATATATATATATATATATATATATATATATATATATATATATTCAACTTTGAATCAAGAAGCAAAACAAGGAACATTATATGACTTATTCTTTAAAAGAGAACAAAATTTGTCCTTGTGTTATAGAGTTAGTGAGGTGTTTGCTCTTGATTTCTAACCTATAGACTCTAGTTATTTTTGCCTCTACCCTACAAAAAGGTAGAATAAAATTTGTGTATATTTTATCTTTCTCAAGCCTCAGTATTTGTAAAACTATATTGAATATGTTATTGTTGTTTACTGTTTCTCCAATGAGGAAAATATATGAAAAAATAATTGTCAACTAACTAGTTGCAAAGTTAGGTATTTTATTTATGTCAAGAGTAATTTTGATGTCACAATTAGAATATCGATAAAATTAAAGTATTTCGTAAGGGGACAAATCATCCCAACCTCAACTAATGTGGGATTCAAACATTTCCACCATCAAGAATCGATTCCTCCGTCCTTAATTAAAAAATTTAACTTCAGACTTTGAAAGTAAAGAAAACCTCAATAAAAAACGATCCCCCATCAATATATCCTGCGTAAGCACGAATGTGAATAATATGAACTAACGGAATTTCAAATATTATATTGAAAAAAGGGCACAAGACTTCCATTTTTATAAATTATAATCTTCAATATCCAGTTGTCATTTGAAAGTTGAAAGTCTTGTGGGCGTGCACACCATATACAATAGTCTAAAAATGACTTTTGAATAAATCCTACGTGATGGTGTCGTATTATTAATTAACAAGGCATATCATTTGACCGACCGATCAAGGTTACGATAGAGTAGTAAGTAATCTTTTATTTTTTATTAAAGGTTTTAAAGTCGAATCTCGAGTACAAAATCATTTTTGCTAGGAAATAATTTACTCAGATATAAGATTTTCTAGAATGTCAAACCTCAATACGAGTATCAGATATCGGACCATCAGGAAAAAAATCGTTTGACTACAATAGTATATTATATGGTTTGAGCATGTCTTAAGGTTGGAAAGTAATTAGTATAATGTATATCATAATTACCAATTTTGAAGGTCCTATTATTCCTTTTCCACTCCTCTTACCTTTTATGATTATTTTTTAAAAGAAAGAAAAGAACTTCTATTTATAAACTGGTTGCAAAATTCTCAAAAATGGGGTTTAGTATATGTTAATGAAGTTTGTTGACATAATTATTTAAGTAATTTCATTAGGTAAATAGTTTCTCTGCTATAAGCAAAGATGAAAAAAAATATTCCAAATTAGGAGAACCATCAATATTTATATTGGACGAGAGGGAGTTGCTCGGATGATAAGCACTCTCACTTTCAATCCGATGGTTGCGAGTTCGAGTCACCAAGGGAGCAGAAGGGGTGGGAGCTCCTCGGGGAGGGTAAAAAGAAAAAAAAAATTATATTGAGACATATTTGTCATCTATCACTTTCTCATCATCTCTTGTAAAATCAAGTCCATCGCGAAAATATAGATTTTATTAAAAATAGATACAACAAAGAAACTAAGGGACGAACCAATAACCTCTTGATCTGGTCGCAAAGTTATTCATAAACAACTCTATCAAAATTTAATAGTACATTCAAAAGAGACCTAGATCACCCTTCAATGGTCTAAGACGATCGCTCATTGATGAAGGAGGTAGTGGTATAGAGACACCACTGCACTGGTAACTGTGTGTTTAGTGCATCAAGATAAGTTAGAAGATTAACTATATAGACAAACCCTATGTATTAAAGTATTGAATCTATAAAGTTTAAATCCTTATTTTGCATATGCAAGCATTACAACAATATGATGTATTTCATAATAGAAACATATTATTTCAGGACAAAAGAAGAGTCCCAAAGAAGACAAATTTTAAAAAGGATAATGACCCCCACCCCACCCCACCCCACCCCCAGGCTGGCAAGTCCATCTATATTCAGGTCAATCTGGGACAACAGAATACAAACCAAATTTAGATCATGCATCAGAAGTAGGCCCATTTCATGTTTTGACCAAACAAAACAGGTAACAACTTCACCTGCAACATAGCCTGAGCTCGAAGTCGTTTTTGTTAAAGAATACTTTATCCATTTCAAAACACAATGTGGAACTTTTTCAACGTGAATTCGAATTTAATTAGGCCCTAAATGCCTAAGACTGAGTTGGAAACCAAAATGAAAAAACTCTCCCAACTTCCATATTAACCACATAACAACTCTTCCAATTTATACATCATGAACGTCTCGAGAAACACTTGGTAATTTCTTTTCATCGATTCAAGTTTTGATGGAAAAATTACCTGATAGTTGTTGGTAGTGAGAGGTGACAAATATCTCGTTGAATTAATAGTTGTTTGTAGTAGGTGGCGGCAAATACCTCATGAAGTCTAAATGCGTGACTTGGCTCAGACAACACAATTATAAATAATAAAAAAGAGTTTTGACTTTATTCCGCTAATAATTTTATTTATACAATTTTCAAGAATTTAAATACATGTTTAACTTATTCAAATTTTAACATTTTGATATGACATTTGTCAAACCAACTTCTCATTTGTTACTTTGATGTGTTTTTTCCCCTTCTACAACAATAGTCAAATCAAATTAGCATCTTTACTCCTCCAATCAAAAGGTGTCAATGGAAGAAAAGTGCTCCATCGGTTTTAACTTATATTGCACAGTTTGATTTGACACAACTTTTTTAAAAAGAAACTTTTAAAAGTTGTGAATCCAAAATACTCCTTCGACCACATGTGTGATTATAAATCTTTAATTTCAAGATTAAGTCGTTTCTAATTGACATTTTCTTTATGACAAACTAGAAAGAAAAGTGTGTCACATGAATTAAAATAGATGGAGTAATACTTAATAGAAACACGCTAAGAAATACTCGTGTGAAGATAGACTATCTACATTACATGCCCTTGAGCTCGAGTTGCTTTGTGCACCAAGCTACCTTCTTTGTCTTTATCCACAAATCAGGTATCATCATTAGAACAAGTACTGTTTTGGCCTTCTATTCCCAAGTGTTGAATAATAACAAAAAGTAGCTATGCTTTAACTGACCAAATTACTCCACAAAGGCAATTTAACAAATGACTAGGTATGAACCAATTTCATCGTCAAACAGATATTTAAGATAAATTTTCAAAATCTATACCCAAACGCTAGCTCTAAATATTTGCAAAAACTCCTTTGTGGATTCTACTTGTAATGTTTCCAGCATCTTCTCTAGAGTATCCTTCCTTTCATGTTTTCATTTTTGGAGATAATCGTTGTGTTTGGACCAGGTTGAATATCCTTCCATAGAGGACTACGAAAACTTAACCCGTCTTCTGAAATGAATAGAAGAAACTATCAGAATGTTCTATATAGCACACCATTACATTATGTTGCACTAGGTTCAACATCATAGGCAACATTGACAACTAAAGGAACGACCATAAAATCAGGCACGAAAATTATAAAAAGTTACTTTTTTTTTTTTTTTGAGAAGGTAACATATG